AGTGTAACTACCGCCCCTCCCCCCTCTGCCCAGCGCAAAGCACAAGGCTCGCATGCCGAGTGAAGCGGGAAAAAAGTGCAAGAGAGGGTGAGAGAAAGAAAAAGAAAAAAACACGGTTCGCGATACGGTTCACGTCAAAGACCCGCCTCTAAGAGCCATTTCGTTCGCGACCAACACATCACTACCAGGCTGGAGCCCAGCCCCTCTCCAGGAGGCTGGTTCTAGGGTCCAAGTCATGCGTTGAGGTGAGCCCAAATATATAGAGCCGGTATCATTCAATCTCAAGCACTAGCTCAGGCTCTTTCCACAACAGAGGGGTGACATTCCATGTCCGAATACCCTGCGCCCAGCCATGCCCCATAGGCTAAGGCATGGAACCCCACACACCCTCTACAGGCATAACTCCAGGATGGTGTCCCAGTAACCCTATGCAGCGCAGGGTAAACTGCTCCTTTGTATTTGCACTGACAATAGTTGTCTGAATCGCCCTTCGTCTGGTTTTTCACCCAGGACCAATTTGACATGGGAGACCCTACCAGATTGCAAAAGCCTCCTGATAACATAGGATCCCAACTGACAACTTAGATTCCTGGAGCTATGTTGTATGTGTAATTTAAGTAGCTGTGGTAGTGGTGTTTATGGAATTACATGGACCTTTCCCCCATTTTTTATGTTTATGGACCCATTATGATTCACTGAAGTGTTTATAGGACTATTTTGCATCTGTCATTATCTCTCCATTTGAGTGTAGATGGTTCCACTCATCAACACAGCCATTGATGCCCTGATGAAGAATTTGCATGTCTACGCTGAGTCAGGAGAGGCCTTTGATATCCACAGGTAAATACATAAACAATGAGGAAAGCCTTGTGTTTGTCTACTTTACTTCTACTGTATTTTTTCTTTCACTGTTCATATTTCTAAAATTTGATGCTATTTTGCAGATACTTTGGCTACTTTACCATGGATGTTATTGCCAGTGTGGCATTTGCAACTCATGTGGACTCGCAGAATAACCCAGATGACCCGCTTGTCCAACACGCTCAGATGGCCTTCATCAATGATTCCTTCAAGTCTGTCTTTTTACTTTTCTGTGAGTCATTATTATAACACAATTGAATTTCAGATATTTATGTAGGACATTAAAAGAGAAAGTTGATCACAAAAAATTGTAAGAAAGAATTTCAGAAAGGTTAAATAGATGTAGAATATGCCAAAGAAGTATTTAAGCATTTTTGTTGATATACCTGTGCAGATTTGTGTGTTTCTGTCTTTAGTTGCTTTTCCCTCCATCATGGCTCCTCTGTCGAGGTTCATACCCAACAAAAGACAAGACAAGATGAGTCATTTCTTCATTAACAGCATTCACAAAATCATCAAACAGAGAGAGGAGCAGCCTCCTGAGCAGGTGAATCTCAGACTTTCCTAAATCTGTGTGTGGCTTTCAAACTGTCATTTTCCTATCTTTCTTATTTATTTCTTTTACACGTAGAGGCGTAGAGACTTCCTTCAGCTGATGTTAGATGCTCGAACCACCGAAGAGTGTGTGTCATTGGAGCGCTTTGACACATCAAATGACACCGATGAGATCGGTGACAACAACCAGCAGACCCAGTCTTCAGGCACAGTTCAGGAAAATGACCCTCCTCTTTCACAGGAGCCGTCTGTCAGGCGTCCACAGAAAAAGATGCTGACTGAGGATGAGATTGTTGGTCAGGCTTTCATCTTCCTCCTGGCAGGCTATGAAACCAGTAGCAGCACTCTGGCGTTCACCTGTTACCTCTTGGCTGTCCACCCTGAATGTCAACTCAGAGTACAGAAAGAGGTGGATGATTTCTACACTAGACATGTGAGTGTTTTACAGTTGGTTCTGATCTATTTTGATTCATGCAGTTGTGGACAGTCATTGATTGTCATGCTGTTTGCTTTGTAGGACTCACCTGATTACACAAATGTCCAGGAGCTGAAGTATTTGGACATGGTTACATGTGAAGCATTACGCCTCTACCCTCCTGGATTCAGGTAAAGAAGGATGTCAATTGGGGCTACAGTGGGGTAGCTTTGGTACGCTGTGATATAGGAAGATTTTCAGCATTGTCCCTTAATTAGCTTTTCATGGGGTATAGCCATAATGCTATCATCCGGAAAAACTCTCTTCTTCTTCTTCTTCTTCTTCTTCTTCTAACTCTTCTTCTTTGGATGGAGCTATGTACAGAAATAGAGAGCAGGGGAGGCAAGAGAGGCAATGGCAACTATAACCGACATCAAAAAGCAATAGAGCTTAAAAGTCCAAATAAATTAAGGAAATAACAGTTTTGATAATGATGTTAAATTTATTTTTTTACTGTTTTTCCCCCTTTAGCTTCTCTGGGGGTGGAAGTGGTCAGGGAATTACATAACGTAATAAAGTAAATAAATAAAGTAAATAAAGTTACAGCTCTTCTGTTGATACTGTGTGTGACCATTCTGTAACTGTGTAATTTTGAAATTGTCCCACTAAGGTTTGCACGAGAAATAGAACATGACTGTGTGGTGAATGGTCAGCAACTTCCTAAAGGAGCA